GCAAGTAACTGAATTTTGAAAAACCATCGATACGAATTTCAGGCTTAAAGTAGGTTGTGTCACTGGTAGCAATGCTTCGTACATCCGAAAAAGAAAGCTACGTGACTTCACACATATTGCGGTATTCTGCCTTATGACTCCGTATAGTGCGGTAAGTGGGTCTTTGAAAACTATACTTATTGTTTCCATCTTCGGGGTAGAAATATTATAACATCATGTAATCTCGTAGGTGGACACCGACGTTTCGGAGGATCATACTGCCTCTATCCTCAGAGTAAAAATGTTATAATACCACGCAGTTTGCTAGGTGGGTGCCACCGTTTGGAGGATCATAGTGCTTCGTTCAGACCAAAGCGTTGATATTCACTCACCAGATCACACGGTTTCATAACCCAGATCTTCACTATCGAAAACCTGAAGTCTTAAGGATCTGACGAAACTGTTTATGTATGTCAGTGCCATCTAGTGACAGATATTTACCGTAAATACTGGTATGAGTCTCTCTCTACAAACTCGGAAACATTACGGAAATCCTAGCCCCAAAACTCTTTCCGTCCGTATAATAGACTGTGTTTGCAGAAGAGTGCCAACAGCAAACACTCTTCCACTCGGGGGCTATCTCGTAGCGTTTACTGAAGCAGCTCCTCACACATGCAAACCCCTCTGGACCGCCGCCAACAGTGCCCGACTGTTAAAAATCAAAATCGGAAATTGTTTGCTCTAGTGTTCAAATTGCATAATCCATTTATAAGGAATGAAACGAAATAGATATTGGCAGGTCAAGCGATGTTGAGATACGAGACAGGTAGCAGGGCTCCGCACAGAATATCACCTATCCGGGTTCTTAGCGAAAGAATCGACTCGATTTAATAAACCACATCGTACTAGCTTGCTAAATAATTATAATACTTCGCTGGAATGCTTAATAGTCCATTTTAAATGAGTTACTTAGGTGTTTATAAAAATTATTTAGAAAACTGCCCCTCAGTGATGAGAAATGCTAACAATGGCGCACTCACTCCCGCACTCCACTGACAGTGAAGTCAAATAATTGTTAACTTTCTGCGACGCAGTCAGAGTTCAGTGATTCCAACATGTGATTTCTCTTAAGACACATTTTTATCGTACAGGAAGAAATAAATATTATATTGACAATATCATTGTCACGAAAATACTTGGGGGAAAAATTTTTAGAAGTATTTTTATTAAAGGCTTTACAGACAATGGGCATACCGTAAATATATATATACTTACTTACTTACTCATGGAGCTGAGACCTTCTTGAGGAGCCGCCAATCCTGCAGCTGCTCAAGAATTTCCCAGCATTTTATGGAACCCGAAGGTTCATTACCGTGTTCACAAGAGCCCTCCACTGGTCCCTATCCTGAGCCAGACCAATCCAATCCATACCATCCCATCCTATCTCTCTAAGATCCAATTTAATATTGTTCACCCACCTACTCCTTGGTCTTCCCAGTGGTCTCCTTCCCTCTGGCTTTCCCACAGATATCCTACATGCATTCATCGTCTCCCCCTTCGTGCTACATGCCCTGCCCACCACATCCTCCTTTTCTTGATCATTCTAATTATACTTGGAGAAGAGTACAAGTTATGAAGTTCCTCATTATGCAGCTTTCTCCAACCTCCTGTCACTTCATCCCTCTCCGGTCCAAATATTCTCCTCAACACCCCGAGTCTATGTTCCAAGTTTCACACCCATACAGAACCACAGGGAAAATTATAGTTTTTTATATTCTAATTTTTATGTTTTTAGACAGCAGACCGGAAGACAAAAGGTTCTGGACTGAATGATAAATATGGATTGTTTAACTTCGGAACTGTCTGTTAGGAAGTGTCAGCCTCGTAGCCTATGTTACATTTCGTGAGCTGTTTATCGTTCAATTATGCAGTTAGAAATGTAACAGTACCATTAAGTAACAAAAAGAACGGCCTCGTAGTCAGACACATTTCCTGCGACCTGCAAATCCGTGTCGGAGCTCTAGTTAACATGCTTAGCAGTAATCTTAACTTCGGTCACTGCATAGTTTGCGTAATGTTTCTTATTACTAACTTCGAACAGTATGAGGCAATATAGTAACCTGCAATTGTAGTTTGGAAGTAACTGGATCCACAAACGCCGACAAGATTGTAACCAGGCTTCACCACGAAACGAACGTTCAATACCACTACTACAATAATAGTCTCATATTACTGTGCACAAATACACTAACGGAGCATTGAGATGGAAACAGACTGTGCTGCCATCTTGAGACGATTATTGGAAAAATATAGAATACGAGTATATATTTATCAGCTGTGGCTAATTGTGCTGGTGAAAGCAGCGTCGTGTGTACATAGTACTGCCACCTATTTGTTTGGATTCCTGTCCTGTCCACAGCGGAGTCTTAATCGGTAATAATGCTAACTACTGCTCGACCTCGACGCTCTCCTCGCCAAATTTGAGTCCCTTTCAGCAATGAATTATTTCGAAATCCTGATGCTGCAGAGGAGAACGGGTGAACACATAATAATGTACCGGTACTTGAAAATCGGCGACTATACCGATTTGAGTGTATCAAGTAAAACTGGCTGAGACAACGTAAATAGGGATTATGATCTTACACTTAGTCTGGTGGATAGCTACGACGTTTTGGAGGAACACATTTCATGGTACCCTGAAGATGGAAGCAGCAAGTGTCCCTAAAACGTTACCAGACTGCACTCAGTGTCAAGTGGCGATGGTTAAACATTATCACAAGAAACATTCCCAAGAACGGAATATAGGGAAGGGTAGAGGGGAGGGGGGGTCAATAAGTGAGAATCCTTGTATGACCTCGGTATATAAACTGTCAAATGCACACAAAACGCCCAAAGAAAATACTGAAAGTTGTCCCTGTGCTCAACGAATTAAGCACTACGCCATTAAGATGTATGGGGAAGAGGATGTATAGATCCACATTTTCTTGACCTCGGCACTAGCTGGAGGTGAGTGGTCAGCTTCACGCCTCGGCCTCTTTACCCTCGGGGAAAAAGTCCCCGGTACCCACTGGCTAGGAGGCTGGGTGGACCACAGAGTCGGTAAGGACGATTTGGAGAAGAGAAAATTCTTGACTCTTCCGACCACTCAGTCGTCCAGCCCGTAGCGAGTCGCTATACCGACTGAGGTATCCCGGCTCATGAAGCTACTGGAGAACCACGAAAAATGCAAAGTTTCAAACACAATCTAACTTTTGGTGGTGGCATGTACTCCACACACACTGAAACTCAATTATTATATACGAAAAAATCAAGTAAGTTTGTTTTAACATGTGACACATCTTCATTATCCCTTTTCAAAACAATATTGCCATGGACAATTCGCAAGGCCTTAGCTGTACCTTATGTACAAGTGTGAAGCAAAGAACGGTTACACGAGATTTCAAAAGCGTTCAGTAATGAGATAAAAGAAAAAGCTCAAGAAATATAAATTTATTACACATAATCACACGGCCATTTTGCAGAGGGTAATAATAGTGGGTGACGACAGGTGACGCTTATCTTCAGAAAAACAAAATCCGTTGTTTCCAAAATGCTGTGGGATTGAATGTGATGGGGCATTTAGGCCACATGAAAGGCAAGGCTTTCATGGTGGACTGGTCCACTCACTCTGCCCACACCTGAACACTGTGAAAAGAATAAATGTTATTACTACTGTGTATATATTCGAATTTATGAGCATGAATGCAGAAACTTTGAGGCCTCCATAATACATTACATAATTGCGTTTACCAGTTATTGTATTTGGTCTATATGTATGAATCTCCTTTAAAATCATGAACACTGTCTATACCTTACCTTACCTTACGTCCATCACCGTGACAACCGCTACAATCGGAACGGACACTCCCACGACAACGAATACGTGGAAATCGTGGAGTTCCTGCAGCGACAAATCGTAGCAACGAATTGTCGTTGAGTAACAGCGGATGAGACGAGACACGTTCCCGTAACAATGGACTGCCTGAACAGCGGTAACGGAACCGCGAGAAATGATGTCTGGTATCCGGTCCGCGTAACCCCTATATAAGCAGAGCTTACGACACGTACAGAGCATTGAGTACTGAGTATTGAGTATAGAAGATTAGAGTACTGAGAACGAGACAATCTTGAGATAGCCGCCGTCAGAGACAGTTGAGATCTAACCACGGCCAAGGATACTTGAGTATTGGAGTATTGGGCCAGAAGTCAAGTAATACTGCAAGAGATAATAATTATACGGTGTGTAAGAGTGAGTGTTCAATAAAGATTCGTTAAATCCGAGACCCACGTAAAGTTATTTGTCACGTGACATACCCAATGCGTGACAATATAATATTAAAGTAAACTGTAAGCAAATATGCACCTCTGAAGTTCTCTCAACAATTTCCAAAAACTGACAACTCCCTTGCTAAATCTGAAATTAAACCTACTAACGGGTAAGGGAAAGGTGTGCTTGTGCATAAATTATTACGCATCATACCATGAAAACAGAAGTGGAGTGGAGGTATAACTCCAACGTTCCTGATCTTGGCATTTGATGGAAATGAGTGGTCAGCACCACTCCCCGGCCTCTTTACCCCCAGAGAAAGAGCCTTCGGCATCCACTGGATAGGAGGGTCCGTAGGTCCAATAGCCGGTCTGGATCCTCGGGAGGGGAGAAAATTCTCTTTCCCTGCCAGAGGTCGAACCCCAACTTTCCAGCCCGTTGCCCATTCCTAATCGTAGCGAGTTTCCACTTACACGCACTTGAACACGCGCTGCAGGTTAGGAACCGTCAAAACGGCTGCGCATACGCCAAACCACGAATCATACCAACGTGACATACCCTAACCACAACCACCACGGAATAGCGCGCATAAGCCCACAGACACGCACAAACAGTACCAAGTTAAGCGATTGTTGACTTATATCGATTGTGTGTACGATCATTTAAAGTCGACTAGTTATCGAGTTGCATGTGCCTTAATCGATTTCTTGTTTATGTTAAAAAAGTTTTCAGTTCTGGATTAGCCGTTGCTAGCATACGATTAGCGTTTTAGAAACAGAATAAAAATAACTATGATCGTGTCTGGATCAAATAATTTGTCAGACGACTCGGACGATGAAGTTGAAAACAGTGAGGTGGATACATATCGTCGTAAATACCAGCTACTGTTAGAACGATGTGAAGTTCTGCAACAGGTTAAATTTTGTTTCTTTTTTTTCCAGCTGACAGTATATGCAACTGAACTGGTTTACGTTAGAGCAAGTAACTAAATAAAATCCTAATTAAATTTGATTTCCATACCCTTAGTAAACCACAATTTTCCTGTATACATTCTCTTCCCGTGTATAATAAACGTCGGCTGGCAGTGTATGTGCAATCAGTCAATATTTTTCATTTTTGGCCCTCTACTGATTTTATGTGGTCACTATTGGTTGTAGCTCAAATATGTACTAGTAATCCATTGTTGTACCATCTAGAATACTGAATTTTATGGACATCTTGGAATAATGAATTGAACTGTAGTGTAAAATATACATGAATTTGGGGAGGATGGTAACAAATCAAAATTATATTCAGAGAAGTCAAAAGCAAATTATATTTGTGGAATGGTTTATTATTGAGATCATAATTGTCTTCCCATTTGCTAACCATAAATATAAAGATTAGCCTATATACAATTTTAGTTCCGCCTCATTTTATATGGATGCAAAACTTTGACTTTCACTGTAAGGGAAAGCTTGCATAATGAGAATCTTCATTAATTTGTACTTTTTTGAATGGTAACCAAATCAAGGAGGATGGGCATTCAGCATGAGGTTAGAAGTGGATACTGAATTTTATTTGGGAAAGCTGCAGGAAAGACCACTTGGGAGACATAAAGATAAGTGAGAGAATATTAAAATGGATCTTAAAAAACGTTGTGGATATGATCACAGTGATGAACCTCTTGTTTTTCACAAAAGGCAGGCCATATCCTGGCCTTATGGGCAAGTATCAAATTTCAAAATGATCTCCATTAGTCAGATGGCTATAATGTCATTATGGTAACCCTTTATTAGCACTATACAAGCTATCAAAGCCATATACTTTTTTGGGAGATGTACGAGTATAACCTCAAAAATTCCAATCTGTGAGACAATTATTGTCAAATTAATGCATAATTTGGAAACAGTTTGTCCAAGTCAATTTAAAAGGGTTCTGATGATGGTGTATAACACTCAAGATTTCTGACCTGACTCCTGTCCATCATCCAGTATTCCAAACACACAACAATAACAGTGAAGAAGAACTGCAAGCCAAAGGAGGTCTCTTATTAGGAACCGAAATAGCTACACTGCAGTCAGTTCCTTTGCACTGCTGCACTGGATAATACTGTTTTGTTGTTGTAGGATAATGAACGACTAGTTCACAGGATTCAGCAAGTTAGAAAGTTGCTACGGAGATCACGGAAAGAGCGTAAGTAAGTACACTGTTCACACAAAGATGGAGACTGGAAAAATGGTATATTCATAACTTGTTTGTAACCCACATACACATATATATATTATTTCACATGCCAGATATAAAATTATCTTCAATCAACTGTGTAACACAATATTAATTTGAGACAAAATTCTATTTATAATCTTCAAACAGGTTCCTAATGGACCGCCTGGATCAGCGTGGGGATAACTGGCGCAATGTACAATTACCAATTCCTCTAGACGAGCCTCTTAATACACCCAGTACCGTCAAACCCGACAAGAACCAACACCAAAAGGTTGGGACTGGATCTACAACAAAGGTACAGTACTGAAACGAACTGGAAGAGATCATTTTAATTGGTCCCTATGGACTGAAAGCTTTAAACTTGTGTCTCACATATAAAGTTGCACCACTCTTCATAATTTCATTGCAAGGAGTTATGTCTTGTGTGTCTCACATCACTACCCAAGTGACTGCCTTCAGTCAGCTGTACAACTCACATTTGCAAAAAACAATAATATATACACTAATACTTTATTTTTGCTATAAATATGATTTATTGCCTTGAGGCAGTTTTGATGGTACTGACATGATAGCCGCATATTCACAGTACTTCCTGTATGTATTGCTAGTTGCCTTTTTATGTACTTCCCTTTCTCTGTTACAGTACCATTGTATTGGTTCCTTGCGGGAACTCTGTTCTACGTCTTGGTACCTGGGAGTGTTCATATTTCCGATAACATTTCTCAGCCATATAGCCATTATAAACAATCTGGAAACTTTGGTCGTGTAACATTCCCCGACTTTGCTTATTTTGTACACACCGTAATAATAATAATACTGCTTAAAAATTATAAGCATTGAATATTATATCAGTGTAATTGAAATACATTATTTCCTTTTCATGACCTAATCCTTCCAGCTGCACTATGGCCCTGGGGTCGACTCAGCCTCTAACAGAAATGAGTACCAGGAATTAATTAAATAATTTTCCTGGGGAGTAAAGCGCGGCTGGCGTGTATGGCTGACAACATTACCGCCATCTTTGAGCCGACTGTCTAGATAGTGTGGGACCCTCAGCGTCTCACAACTCTATGGGACTTCACGGCCGGTTACAGGGATAGCTTTACTTTTTTTTTACTTTTATTAAAGAATTTACAAGCCTGCATATATATGGCAGGCAGATTTTGTGTGCAGGAAATTATTTAAAAAGAAGACATCAAAGCTTTGTAGTGGCCAGAGTTTAGACTTCAGTTACAGACCTTACATTTACTAATAAAAATGTACATGATCATCACTGACAGCAGCAGCAGTCATTCTTAAACATTTCTTTTTACAACTCAAAGAAACAATCATCTTTAGAACACTCGTTTTACTTCAGATAGTGGGACTGTCTAGTCTCATAGGTGGTTTCCAGCGATCAAGAAGAATATGCCACCTCCTGGAGATAGAGGCAGGATGTTTCTCCCAGATGTGGGTATTGACCTATGAGACCACACAGTGTCATAACAGGAATGTATCTGATCCCAGCTCTCACACCATTCGTCATAATAAAAATCTATCAATTCAATAATAACAGATCACTAAAAGACGGTACTGCCAATTCCTGAACCATCATATATGTCAACTTGCCTCAGACAATGGACAGTGTGAAACATAATACTTATGTACGAAACTGACCACTGTCACAAACCTGTAGAGAATCATTATGGTGTCACAAGAATTCAGTTTAAATTTTTGCTGCTATAAAAACCTCAAATTGCACACAGGAATCTTGTTCCATGGAGATTACTGCTAAATTCATATTACTGTCTTAGTCCACAAGTTCAGCAGACAAGGGAGGAAAAAAGAATACGGTCTCAAGTTCTGGTGGTACTAAACGGAAGAGCGGCAAGAACAACGAGAAGGTGGAACGTGATCCAAATGCACCCAAACGCCCAGCAAATCCATTTTTCCAATTCTGCCAAGAACAGCGTCCAATTGTAATGGAGCGACTTGGCCTGCAACAGAAGTCTGGAGAAGCGGAACCTTCAAAACAGGAGCTGACCAGACAGTTGGCAAGCAAGTGGAACACCTTGCTGCCCGAAGATAAGAAGGTAAGATAACATCACAATGAAGAGATTCTGCACTGAAAATACTGAGCATTAAACTCTGTACTAATTTGTTTCCTCGTTTATGCTGCTAGGAATTTTTTTAATAATCCACTGTTGGTAAGTCATAGAAGTATGAGTTAATTACTTTTAAATTATCTCTGGCAGCATTTAATGCAATACAATGAACACATTTTCCTCTTAGAGCAATTGAGGAATGAAATACTGGATACAGTTTAATCTGTGGTGGTATTATTTTTTCAGGTTTACTATGATATGTATGAAAAATCAAAAGAGAAATATGCAGTAGAAATGCAGTTATACAGCAGTAGAACGAAGCCACCTAGTGACGACATCCCAACTTGAATTTGATTTGTTTCATTCTGGTCCATCACACTAATATTATGAAAAAGTTAAATAGTTCCATTCAGTGTGATTAGTTAAGATTTTCTTATTTCAATTATTTACGCCCTTATGTTTTGGTCTTCAGAGGGACACCTTTACATCAATACAGTTAGAAGCCACTATTACAGTACACATTCTAAAAGCTAAAATATATATATATATATATATATA